GGGGGGGGGGGGGGGGGGACAACCCAGCATGCCTTATGTAGTGTTCTTGCACCCCCGAGTCATTCCCACCAGAAAAACTAAAGAGAAGCAAACAAGTCTTTTTAAATTTACAAATAAACATACTGCAAAGGACCAGGGGGTGGGATGCCAGTGGGCTGCATCAGAGCATATTACTACAGGGAGGATGGGAGACAGCTAGCAGTCAGTGATCAAGCAGAATCACAATGAGAGTAGAGACAAAGGCAGAGGAGGAGGAGGCAGGGAGAGAGGGAAATTACCTCAATCTTACGACCTTCCACCAGAGTGCCGTGAAGCTTTTCCCTGGCTTTCTCTGCGTCTGCGCTGTTCTCAAATGTCACAAAGCCAAACCCCTGTGGTAGACGGCAGATGTCAGAGGGAGGTGGGGAGTGAGGGAGCATCAGCAGAACCTGTGCATCCTTAGACCCGGTGCTGCATTCTCACATTGTTCAACAGATAACTGTTATAATAAGTTTCTCCCATGTGCCGTGCTGATGCCGTGTCACCACATCTCATTCACAGACAACAAAACATGCACAGTGGAGTTACTGTCAACAGGAAGTGCTGTAATCTTGTTTCAGGGAATCACTTACCTTTGAACCCCTCTCATTAAAAATTATCTCTACATCCAGGATCTTCCCAAATTGCTGCAAATAAATTTGAGGAAAGAAATTAGTGAGACATAAGAAAACACGGCAGCCATTAACATATGTGAGTTGTAGCAGGATTTGGGGTTTGGTTACGACCCCCTTACTGCAAAGTCCCAAGCTGGTCTGACGCTGTGTGACCTACAGCTACTTGGCACTAGGGGGCACTGTTACACTAAAGACAACCTTCTACATTTCAGAACAGCTCTGTCTGTCTCTGTGCCTTGAACTCTGCTCTGTCACTTGGTCAGTCCTACTAACACAGTGACACAGAACAGCCATGAGGCTTCCCTTGGTGCTCCTCCCTGTCTCGCTCTACACCCCTAGTTTACAGCTTCTTACCCCAAACATCTGCCTGAGGTCAGGGTCCCGGAAGCGGAAGGGGATGTTTGAGACGTGGAGGCGTTTGGGGGTCCCTTTGGCCTCTGTGGAGTCTCCTGCAGAGCCTCCTGCTCCTGTGCCCCCTGTGCCGCACTGCACACCCGCCTCACCCTGGGATGCCTCCTCTGTCTTTCCCTGTGATGGTGAGACAAAGTGAGCAAGGTGGTAAAGACAAAGAAACCACTTATGATAATAATTTTAGCAACACCTCTTCTGTTGGATGTGACTGTGATGGAAACGCACAGAACTTACAAGTGCAGGATGCAGAAAACTCTTTTTAACTCTTGATGTTATTGATGCACCAGAAAGAAAGAAGTTTCAGCAGCATCTTAAACCATGCTAGCAACTCTGTGAGGCTGTACCAAGCTACAGAGCTGCTGTGAGCTACACATTAGCATGCTAACATGCTCAAAATGACATTGCTATAATGTTAGCATGCTAACATTTGCTAATTAGCACTACCCACAAAGACAGCAGAGGTTGATGGGAACATTTTGCAGTTTAAGTGGCTGCAAATCAAAAGTATTTGATAAATAACTGACCTACTGATGCTATAGGGGAAGTAAAGGGAGCTGTGAATTCATCCTGATGGGAACGATGTCAAGCCCAAACCACATGACAATAAATCTAACATTTATTATAAATATATATACACAGAGGTGGCTAATGAAAGGAAACACCTTAACCCCTACAGGAAGGGGATCTGCTGGCTCTGTTCTCCCCTTAGGGGGAGGAGTCACTGCAGATCAGTAAACAGTAGCTCTGGTGGGAGTGGTCTCCTCCAGAATGACAGTGCCCCCCCATCCACAGGACGCCAGGGGTCACTGACTGGTCTGATGAGGATGACCATGATGTGAACCAGACGCTGTGGCCTTCCCAGTCACCAGGTCTCAGCCCAGTTGAACAGCTAAGGAGGGTGTTGGAGTGACGTGTTAGACGGCGTCTCCACCACCGTCATTAAAACACCACATGAGGGAACATCTGTTGGAAGAACGGTGTTCATCCCCTCCAGGAGAGTCAGTGCCACGGTGGAGCTGTTCTGGTGCACGTGGTGGCCAGAGTCCCTCACTGGGACTCTGTGTACTGGGTCGTCCTCTCATCTGTCACCTGGCTGTGTATATATGAAAATGTTTGACTAAAAACAAAACATCTTGCTGCTGTTAGAGGAAATGCCAGTACACTGTCATTAGGACTCATCCTCTGGGGATAATGAATGTCTGCACCATTTCAAGGCAGTCTGTTTAGTAGTAGTTGGGATGTTTCAGTCTAGAACGAGGTGGTGGACTAAGGCAGTCTGTTTAGTAGTAGTTGGGATGTTTCAGTCTAGAACGAGGTGGTGGACTAAGGCAGTCTGTTTAGTAGTAGTTAGGATGTTTCAGTCTAGAACAAGGTGGTGGACTAACAGTGACGTCCCTGAAAAACCGAGTCCGGGTTAGAACCGCTAGTATTCAGCTACATATACGGTTTATAAAACTTCACAATTTCAACCTGTCAAGAATTCAAGTACGACTCTGACCCCCCCAAACACACGCACACACCGTGCCGCTGCAACCTGCCAAACACTCAACAAACTGTCACGGAGAATGAACTAACCCACTAGCGAAACCTTGTGAACACACAGTGCTTACATTGTTACTGGTGGTGGTAGTGGGGGGGGCTCCGTTAGCACCAGCCCCCACCTCTGCTGTACCCTGGCCCCCAGCGCCAAACATGGTCCCTGGGCCAAACTCCGACCCTGGGAGGCCGTTTTGAGGAGGAGGTGGAGGGGGGAAGGCTGTGAAGGGTGGGGCAACCAACCCCTCCTGTCCTCCTGTCGAATCCTGAGCCTGCAGGAGGGGGGAGAAAGAAGGAGAAGACTTAATGTATGCAGCGTCCTGGGGGGGGCCTGCTATCCTCTCATATCTCTGACAGGCGAGTGTTTTAACTCAGTTGACCATGAAATATTTACAGCAAACCCATCAATTATTGAGAGCCAGAAGATCTGATACACAGTTTGAGACACAGACGCTGACGTGCTGGACGGACACAACGCGACATGTTAACTGTGACGTGGCCATAGCTGCTGCGTCGTGTGAATACAGCTGGCTCCGAGCTTTTTGCCTCAGGTCTGCTCCGCACCAGTCCAGCTGTACCAGGACCATCTACAGCTGCCCTACATACGCCCGATCTACTGTGTTTGGTGCCTCTGCCCTGTTGCTTGTTTCAGTCATTTCACACACTTGGACCCAGGTTTACAAAACACCTTTGCAGCAAAGAGAGTAAAAGAAAGACTCAGAACGAGTGGTACACTGTAGGTCTGTGGGGGCTCGGCGCCGGGGCTGACACACAGCGTCCGACACCACTGATGACTGGTCCGGTCTCTGCTGAGGACCACAAGTAGCCTGGTGACGCCTAGAGACTTTATTTAACCAGGAAATCCTGACTGAGACGGGCAACAACATCAATCACGACAAATAACGAGATACAAACAATACAAATAAATCCACAACACGCCTTCATTAGCCAAACAAGCAACCCGATAATAAAAGCCTGTAAAGTGCTGAGACATTGTTTTAAAGCATTAAAACAAATCAAATTAACAAACATCTTGACAACAGCAAGTACGTGTTGAAGCGGTGACTCCATGAAACCAAGCTTTAAATTCACCTGAAGAAACCAGTGAATGCAGTTTCAGCTCCATTTATCAGGCGGAGGTGAAGCAAAGCCAAGGAGCTCTCTCCCTCTCCTTCTCTATAGCTCGACTGCTCACAGCACTTCTGCAGCGAGGCCACGCCGCATGGCTGTAAACAGCCAGCTGAGGCTCACAGGTCCATCTGCAACACAGATGGCCTGAGAGGTCTGGGCCCACCAGACAGAGGAGGCACCAGAGAGCCAAAAGCAGGATGGGAAAAACCCATTCGCTGCCACTCTGGCTGTGGTGAGGCTGGATGTACGACGGATGGAAGGTGTGAAAGCTGGTGGTGTTTTACATCTGCTCCGGTCTCTGTCGCATAGTGATAAAAGAGGGGCCATCAAAAACCAGCTCCCAGAGATAATAAGCCATTAAAATTCATTGGCTGCACCTTGACGGGGTTCAAACTTTATGTGCAGGTGTTCGGGCGTGGGAGCTCAGAAACATGCAGCAGCCTGTTTTCAGCTGCAGACACGGCCCTGCCCAGGCCTGAACCACACACACCCACAGTGACAACAGCGCAGGAAGATTATGATCATACATAGTGAATTAGACACAACCAGGCTTTACCAGAAGTGCCCGTTTATGTTTGGGGTCTCTGTGAACGTGAGCGGCGAAGACTGAGATCGCACATGAACAGGGACGCCACGTCATTAACGCTGACTGACTGGTGCTTTTCACAGACCACACCAGTGAAGCAGGCAAAGCTACAACTCTTACATTCAGTCACTGCATGATTTCCAGCTGAATAAGGCACAACCGACACAAAGCTGTGAACACACACTTCGTTACAGCATTTAGGCTTCTGCTGTAGAAGCAGTTTGAAACACACTGGCAAAACGTTTCTGGCCACGTGTGCGTTATCTAGCTGTCGAAGCATAAACAAAATGAACTGGATGAACTGATGAATGAATAAACAGAGAAGGATGGAAACTGTCACTGGATTAAGATCAGGATGGAAAACACGACCACTCCCGAGCCGCTGAGCGAGGAGCAGCGCTGCCCTACATGGCAGCAGAGGGAGAGGGGAAGCCGTGGAAAAAGGCTGCTTGATGAGAGGGGGATTGTGGGAAATACTGACACACTCAGTTACGTCTGGCATCAACACAATCTTCTCAGAATGAACGCGGACACTGAGATGACGTGAAAGCACGGCGGCTCACACATCAGCCCAGATGTTTGTTTAATCAACAATCTGATTTTACAAGTTTCAAACAAAAGGACCATGTGGAGTAGAACCTTTTCATCCAAACTTCTTGCTTTGTCACAAGGAGCTCATCAGGCATCGATGTGGTAATGATAAGGTTTCAGTTTTTGTGCATTTCTGTTTCTTTGTCATTTGATGAGCATCTGAAACAAATAGAAAACACACTGAGCTCTACTTTCCTTCCAGTACAAAGCCATCGTAGCTTCAGGCGCACTCTTCATTTCGTTTGTGCACTGGCGTTTTGGTATTTTCCTGCAACAGATAACCAGCGTGTGTGACATCACTAGAAAGCCCAGGATGTCCTCTTTCCATGACATTAGGACACAAACTGACTGCAAGAATGGCGTCTGAAATAAAGGCCACAGTGTCACGTCACCCACAGAGGGCAAATATGAATTGCCGGGTCTCAGGAGTCTTAGGAGGACCCCTCCATACATGGAGGGGTGGGGGGAGGGAAGAGGGCTTCTCAATGCAAACCTTTCAAACGTGCGTGTCCACTGACTTTACCCTTTCCCCGCCACAGGGCGGAGGCGGCGATGCTACTGTAACTCATCAGTCACGCACATTCTGGACAGCTCATCTACAGCAGAAAGCTGCCCGACTTTCTCCAGCTTCTTCTCCCTCTTCAATCCCTCTCTTTTCTTTTTCCATCAGTTGGAGAAGTATGTCTCCGTTGGCCCCACCCCCCACCCCCGCTCTTGCCTGCCACGCTTGATGAAAACCAGAGGGAGATTTTTTTTCCTCTTAAAACTCTTACAGTCACCACGAGCCACTCGGTGCCTGCACTGCCCTGTAATGTCCGCCCAAGCCCAGACCACAGCTCGGCTCCTTGTAGGGCTTTGCCTGTGCAGACGCCCTGCAGGCCCATCAGATTACACCCTGCTTGTCCCTTAGAGGTAAACAAACAGCTGGGTGGCACCGACTCGGAGGACACATGGTACCAGACCAACAACCTTTAGATGAGGCTCTAACCATTTGTTTTGTCAGCAAAGATGAGCTGCGATGAAATGAGTGAACCTTCTGGCTCAAATCCAGCCAATAGCTCCTGTTGGTTTTATTTAAAGCACAGGCCAACGCAACGCTGCCCGTCAGCGACATTAGGCAGTAACTGCCCCCTGCCTACGCCGGTGTTACACCTGCAGGGACTGGCCAATTAACCATTGTGTTTTCATTAAGTAACTAATACTCAGTGGCTCACATGTGAAGAGTTTTACAAATGACACTGAGCTCAATATCTCTGGCATCTGTTCGGATGGACCAAACATGACACTGGGACATTATAACACACAAAATGACTCATCAATAAAACTGTGCACAACAGTCAGTTCTAAAAAGTAACCGCTTTATTTTGCAGGTTGTTTTTGGTCCTAATTACAGGACGTGATTATTACACAATGATTATTTATTGGCAACTTTATTCTTCATTTATGCTCCATTGTAGGTTTGTTTGTGGACACACTTACACATGTGCCTGCTCAACATTTAGAAATAACTGGAAAACGGACCCGTCTCCATTTTAGATATAGTTAAATAGAATTATGTGGTTCTTTCCAGGAAATTTCTTAGGAGACTATTTGGAGTTAATTGTGAATTTACAAACTAAAATAAAGCATTAACAAATAACCATCAGCTGCAGCCCTGACAACTGACACAGGCTGTAATTATAAAGACTATGAAAAGTACATCTAAATAAAAACAAACAGAAGAGCTAATGGAAAAACAATTTGTGAAACAGATGTGATCAAATGTTTGTGGTTTGATGAAGGTCTTTATTTCAAATGACTTGCTACACACGAACGCACCCGCACAACAGATTCATACAGATGTTTGACAAACGACAGGAGCCTCCCGACCGACTGAGTGGAGACCCAATCAGCAGGGGCACTGATCAATCAGCTGATCATTGTCCTGATTATCTGATTCATCATCATCATCATCCTTTATTAGCAGACTCAAGGTCCATACAAAAAAGAAATAAAAGAAAACAAAGAAAGGATATAAAAGAAGAAAAAAAATAAAAATCATAAAAGACATTTATACCAATGTTTCCACAGAGAGGATTGGTAACGTACTACACTAAAACCAGGATTAGCCAGCATCATTATAAGACTGTTCTCAGAGTTATTCACACGACAGATAAATCTGTACATCAGGTTTCTCATTAATGCCTGAAAGGTACTAACATGGACCTGTGAACACAACAGACTGGCGCTGGTGGACCTAGGCTTCTTAAGCAGAATCCTCAAGGCATCATTATAAGCAACTTTAAGTTTCTGTAAAGTAGCTACCTTATATTTACACCACAATGGGGCAGTATACAACGGTGTACAGTATGTTCTGAACAGATGAACTTTAACATTAGCAGAACACATGTGAAATTTCCTAACCAACATATTAGCTGGAGCATACAAAATGCGACACTGCCGATATATATCCTCATCATCAGAAAGCTGATCTGTAATGAAATGTCCTAAATATTTAGTTTTTCTACAGACACTCAACCTTTGTCCAGACAAACAAAAGTCTGGCAAACAAAGTTCTTTGTCCCCTTTAGTCCGACAGATCAGTACAACACTCTTTTCTGCATTATATTTCACATCATACTTCAATCCATAGTCCGAGCACACATTCAGCAGTTGCTGAAAACCAGCACTGCTGGGCGAAAGTATGGCCAAATCATCAGCATACATAAAATGATTTACAAGATTAGGGCCTATCATACATCCAGTGTTACATTTATTCAATTCTTCAGACAACTCATCCATATACAGTGCCTTGCGAAAGTATTCGGCCCCCTTGAACTTTGCGAACCTTTGCCACATTTCAGGCTTCAAACATAAAGATATAAAACTGTACTTTTTTGTGAAGAATCAACAACAAGTGGGACACAATCATGAAGTGGAACGAAATTTATTGGATATTTCAAACGTTTTTAACAAATAAAAAAC